TGCAGGGGGGGCCGGCCGCACCGGGCGCAACATCTGGTGGGGGGCGCGCTCGCACTCGCAGCTCTCTGCCCCTACCTGGCTCACTCACTCTCCACGGGTTAGGGGGCGCAAATTACTTGCTTTGCCCCAGGTGCTGACAACCCACGCTACGCCACTGCCCCACCCTCACGACTAGAAGAAAATGGAAGAGTGCTATAAACAAAACTGAGTGAAGCCAGGGATGATGATGGGTATTTAAAATTCTGCAACTCACAATTTCTCCTCTAAAGGACATCAGAAAACTTCATCAAAATTTGTTTAAGTTTGTCACTTTCAATGTACAGAATGCTCAGTGTGGACAACCTCTTGAGACATTGTGGCCCTTAATTCATTTTTAATTCTTTTGAGTCTTGGAAAAACTCCTCTCTCCCGAGCAGTTAGTGACCATAAAGCTAAAAAATAGACACAAAATTGCTTCCACGTTAAGAAAGGCCATCTGAATTTGATAAAGGTCTGTATGAGACAGAGAGTGCTCTGCTGTAAGCCTATGGCTTTGTCTCACATATAGGTGAAAGTGCAAAAGTTCATCAATAAGTTTCATCTTCTGGGTATGCTTCCATCAACAGTTCAACACCCTGCTGAATTTCTTGCTTAGATGCTATCAGAATAGGAAGGGCGGAAAAACAATTGTGCAACATCACTGTACACAGTACTTCTTTTTAAATTGGCTTCAAGTGCATCTCATATAGAAATAAAGGATTTATCCTAAACTTATCTCTTGAAGAAAGTGCATCTAAGGCATCAGGTGCACTTCTGTCATTTCTTTGCCGTTTCCTCACTGTTTCCTTGTTTTGTAGTTAACATTTGGCAAGGTGGCTTTTGCTTGTTTCTCAAGCTCATCAAAATATTCTCTAATTTTCCTTTAAAAATCCAGAACTGTACAAACTTGCACAAGAACTCAGTTACAGGTCTGATTTCTGAAGGGCTTTGCTGACCTTGTGAAAATGACCTAGCACACAGATTTATATCTCTAAGATTCTGCAGACTTTGGCTGTGAACTAGGGCCCCACAAAAATATTTCAAGTTGTGCCCCAGAGTTTCATATTGGGCCCCACTGGCTGGCTCTGAGTCTCATAGTTGCTGGGTCCGAGTTGCCCTGCCTTCACATGAAGTCTTCGGTTTGCAATTTTGGGAGAGGGGAGGCCCCATAGATTTAGAGGCCCTAGGCTTCAGCCTACTTAGCACTGCCTTCGGCTACATATGGAACAACACTCAAGATGATTGAGCTTGCTGTTAGTACACATGATGCAGGGGTATTATGAAGGAGGAGCACCTTAATATCATTCGTTTTGGACAGGATTAGATTTGGAGCTCAGAGTTGCATTATCCATTTCAGTGATGAGGAAGTGGTGGCCCTCAAATGTTCCTCATTCCTGGTAGCACTCAAAAGACAACAGAGTCAGTGCTAGGCAACCCTGCTTGGGGATGACACTCTATAAATGGATCTTTGCTGCTGACAGACAAATATATTGAAACAGCTCAGTTATGATGAAGATGCAATTTGGCACAGGGTGGTGGCAGATGAGTTTATTTTTAATATGTTTTTAGTGCAATTTAAATTTACAAATATCCACTCCATTAAAGTTCTTAATATAGGTTAATAGCAGCCAATGCTGCTTGAGAATTGTAAGAAACCAAAAAAATCTGTGCAGGTTTGAAAATGGTGGTTAAAGTCTGCAGTTTTGAAAGATTCAGTATGCCATCTCAGTACGCCACCTTGATTCAAAATGGTGTCCAGCTGTATCCAGATATAATTGAAAACATGCTCTTTGATCTCCAGAACCATTGTGCAAAATTTGGTTATGATATCTTAAGAGGTGTCCAAATGCATAGGGGGAATCCCCCCCCCCCGCTCAAAGATTATTGCTTCTCAGTATGCTACAATTTTACTATAGTCTTTAGTAGGCCTTTGATATCTTACCAGTTTCATTAGACTATTCATTTTTATAGCAATTTCCTCCCTGGTCTGGCAGAATTTTTTCATGTACTTGCAAAGGTAATCCAGCAGTTGTTATTAAATATAACACACAACCTTGCATAGAACTAATTATCTTAACATGCGGGCAAGCTAGTCTGGGATGAGACACTCCTTAAAGTATTTTTATGACACATTCTTACACAAGAGAAATGTCTACATAACAAACATCAAACTGACCCTACTTTTTGTCTGAATAATGCCGGAGGGACTGTGTGCATAGAAGTCTCTATACAGTGGTACCCCGCAAGACGAACGCCTCGCAAGACGGAAAACCCGCTAGACGAAAGGGTTTTCCGTTTGGGAGGCGCTTCGCAAAAACGAATTTCCCTATGGGCTTGCTTCGCAAGACGAAAGCCAATAGGGAAATCTCCGGGACAGCGGGGAAGCGCAGCGCGTCTTCCCCACTGTCGTCGGACCTCCTCCGAAGCCTGGCGGCGGGGCGGAGAGACCTCTTCCCGCCACCAGGCTTCGGAAGGATGCTCCGAAGCTAAAGAAGCTAAAGCAGCCTGCCGCGACCCTCTCCCGGCTGGAGAGGTGACGCGCGCCTATGGCAGGAACCTCCATAGGCGCCCGTCACCTCTCCAGCCGGGAGAGCGCGCGCGGGGCTAAACCAGCCCCCCGCGACCCTCTCCCGGCTGGAGAAGTGACGCGCGCCTATGGCAGGAACCTCCATAGGCGCCCGTCACCTCTCCAGCTGGGAGAGCGCGCGCGGGGCTAAACCAGCCCCCCGCGACCCTCTCCCAGCTGGAGATGTGACGCGCGCCTATGGCAGGAACCTCCATAGGCGCCCGTCACCTCTCCAGCCGGGAGAGCGCGCGCGGGGCTAAACCAGCCCCCCGCGACCCTCTCCCAGCTGGAGACGTGACGCGCGCCTATGGCAGGAACCTCCATAGGCGCCCGTCACCTCTCCAGCCGGGAGAGCGCGCGCGGGGCTAAACCAGCCCCCCGCGACCCTCTCCCGGCTGGAGAAGTGACGCGCGCCTATGGCAGGAACCTCCATAGGCGCCCGTCACCTCTCCAGCCGGGAGAGCGCGCACGGGGCTAAACCAGCCCCCCGCGACCCTCTCCCAGCTGGAGAAGTGACGCGCGCCTATGGCAGGAACCTCCATAGGCGCCCGTCACCTCTCCAGCCGGGAGAGCGCGCGCGGGGCTAAAGAAGCCATAGCCCCGCGACCCTCTCCCAGCTGGAGAAGTGACGCGTGACTATGGCAGCAGCCTCTGAAGGATGCACCGAAGCCTGGCGTGGGGGGGGCGGAGAGACCTTCTCCCCGCGCCAGCCTTCGGATGGCTGTCCTGAAGACTTGGGGTGGGAGAAGGGTTTTCCTTCCCACCGCCAACATTCAGAATGCTGTTCTGAATGTTGGCGGTGGGGAGGAAAAAACCCTCCTCCCACGCAAGCCCCGGGAACAGAGGGAAAGCGCTGCGCGCCTTCCCCTCTGTTCCCGTACCTGTGCTGAAGGCTTGCGGTGGGGAGAAAAGCCCTTCTCCGCATCGCCAGCCTGGCAAGCGGTTTCCCTAGGAACGCATTAATTGATTTTCAATGCATTCCTATGGGAAACCGTGCTTCGCAAGACGAAAAACTCGCAAGAGAAAAAACTTGCGGAACGAATTAATTCGTCTTGCAGGGACCACTGTATTTTAAACATTCAAGTTGTGAGTGCCATTGCAAATGTAGTCAAAATGACACCATCCCCATGCAAAAGAGGTAAGTATCAGCAAGCTTTGGGGAACCCCAAAGTTTGCAGAAGTAAAATAAATAAGGAGGGAAGCCCTTTAGAAGTGGGTGTGCATGTGGGAAGCAAATTGGGGAAATGTAGTGGTAGAAATGGAACATCCTGAAATAGGGCATGGCTGCTGGCATCATAAGAAAAGCCAGTTGGATCACACCAATTGGCCCATCTAGTCCAGCATCCTGTTCTCACGGTGGCCAACCAGATGCCAGTGGGAATCCCACAAGCAGGGCCTAGGCACAAGGACATGCACCCCTCCTGCTGTTTCCAGCCATTGGTATTCAGAAGCATACAGCCTCCAAACATAGCGTATCTAGTAGCCACTGGTAGCTGTTACCTCCATGAATTTGTCTAAGCCACCTTTGAAGCTATCCAAATTACGGGCCATCATTGCCTCCTGTGGAAGTAGGGTTGCCATACATCTGGAAGTTCCCGGACATATCCGGAATACTGCAGTTGCAAGCAGTGTCTGGGAGGGAATTGGTTAAAGAATTGCCCAGGAAAATCCAGATGTATGACAGCCCATGTCGGCAGTGTCATTTTTGCCGATTTCCCTCAGAAATGGCTCAAAAACGTCCAAAAACCCAGCAACTTTGCAAAACAACAACAAAACCTCAATAACTTTTCTGTCCAAATTTTCATTTTTTGAAATGAAATTTCAAAAAATGCCATGGGAATGCCATGGTTTAGCTATGTGCTGAAAGAATATGTACTTTCTTTCACCTGTCTGCAATCTTCCAACATTCCTCTTCCTTGGCCACAAGTTATAATGTTCTGAGAGAAGTAGAACAACTTTTCTCTAGCCACTTTCTCCATGCCATGACACCTCTCTCCTGTCCCCTCTTACTCGCCTTTTCTCTAAACTAAAAAGCCCCCAATGCCACAAGCTTCCCTCACAGGGGAACTTCCTGAAGACCTGAACATGTTGCTGTCTGCCCTACTTTTATGCAGCCTGAAATCCTATGCTCACTTGCCCGGAAGTAAACCCCACCGAACACAAGGGGGGCCTTATTTCTGAGTAAACATGCATATAGCATTGCGCCGCCAATTTGAAGGGCAAAGAAAGAAAGAAAGAAGAAAGAAAGAACTGGTCCAGGAGCGCTGAATCCTGGGAATTGTAGTCTCCTGGCTCCCCCTCCAGGCTCTGGCTTGGAGTCGTTACCTAGGCAACCGAATGTAAACAAGATGGCGCCGCCGGCCTGAAGCCTCAAGATGGGCGGGTGAGTCCCTTAAACTGTGAAGATCAGGCAAACTGTTAAAACGGGTCGGGAGGCTGCTTTTCATCCTCACAGGCGCGGCTCCTACCTAATTCACCCAGGAACCCGCGTTAAGTCTCTTGCAGCAAAAACAATGCAAACCTTCGTGGCACTTTAAAGACAAATTATGCCAGCCCACGTATTTTACTCAGAAGTAAGCCCCACGGGATTCAGTAGGAATTTCTTCTAGGTAAGTGGGTAAAGGATAGCAGCCCCCACAATCCTGTGTACATGCTTGCTCAACATCCTTGCCCCACTTAAATTTAATGAGGTTTTCTTCTCTGGTAAGTGTGCAATCCTTTGGCTGCCACTCCCTTACTAGGGAGTAAGAGTGAGACTTACTGCTGAGTAAACATATACTGTATATAGGTTTGTGCTATTAAACTGTAATCCCATGTGCATGAAGCGGGGAGCTTGTGGTGCTCCCAATGTCCTTGGGCTTCACCTGCCATCGGCCCCAGCCTTAGGATCCAAATCCCATTGAAATCAGTAGGCTATACTGCTGAATGAACAGGGTTTTGCTGTGGAAGATTCATGGGCTTCCTTCAGCCTTCTTCATCAAATGCAATCTTTCTCAGTGGGCAGATATGAATGGGGCACTGTTCTTGTATATTTTTGCACTCTGCAGACCCACAGATAAGCATAAGAAGAGTTCCTCTGGGTGAGACTAACAGCCCATCTAGTCCAGCTTTCTGCTCACACAGGATGTCTTTACACAAGCAGGACATTAGTGCAACAGCACTTGCCAACTTAGATTCCCAGTTTCCCAGAAACTGGGATTTAGAGGCACACCACCTCTTAATACTGGAGGTGCTATATAGCCATCATGATTAGTAGCCGCTGATAGTCTCATCCTCCATGAGTTTGTCTGATACCCTTTTAAAGTCATCCAAGTTGGCAGCCAACTGTGGGAATGAATTCCACAGGTACAACTTTAACTATGTGTTGTGTGAAGAAGTACTTCCTTTTTGTCTTCTAGAATTTAACTTCATTGAGAAACCCCTGATTCTTGTATTACTAGAGAGGGAGAAAACCTCTATCCACATTCTTCACACCATGCATGATTTTATATATTTCTACCATATCACCCTTTTTCTTAACTAAAAAGCACCAAACATTGTAACCTTCCCTCATAGGGGAGTTTCTCCAGTCCTTTGATCATTTTAGCTGTCCTTTTGTACACCTTTTTCTACTCTGCAATACCCTTACAGTTTTCTTTGTGATTCCTTTCTAATGATCTACCACTTACATTGCAGGTCTGGCTTTACTGTACAATATCTCCTCCTCTCCACTGCCCTGTATCTGTGTGTATGGTATGATATGCCACCTGTGGATAACACTTCATGCACCTAACAAAATGACCCCAAGTCCACAAAATGTTACGCTCTGTGTTCCTTTGCATCTGGCCACATAATATTTGGTGCTTTCTCCCCAGATATTTTTCCAGTGCTGCCCCTCCATTGTTATTTTGGCACATTGGTGCACGGCCCTTTCCTCAAGGAGCTCAGGCTGGAGTACATCTTAAAAAATTCTCATTTTGTGCTCACAAAAACATGAGATAGAAACAGATGCAGCCATCTTTGTAGCTGACTTGAGTGCTCTGTGGGCTGTCAGGCAGATTCAGATGGTAGCTGTCTAGATAATATCTCAGTTTGGTACTAAATCTTACAGTCAGGAGTGCGAAAAGTTTCTCTGGCAAAAGATGGTAATTTTGTAGTTTAGACAGTCCTTGAGCTGGTCTTGCAATTGTCAAGTCAGTCATGTGAATGGATAGAGTGTCAGCCTCGGTTGACTCCTCACTGCATCCAATGTGTTTGGACTTTGAGTTTAGAGATGCTGTAGGAGTGTATCACATCTTCAAAAATTAGCAATGTGCAGAGATGTGTGCATCATATAGATAAGCCACATGGGCAATTTTGAGTTGCATATGTATGCCACAAATTGTAATGCATTTCTATCTCTCTCTCTCCCCCCCCCCTTAGAATTTAAAACTGTAAATTCATGGTAAACGATGACGTCTCCTCTTTCCTCTCTGGGGAAGATTCGCAGGATGCCACTCCAGTTGCAGACACCAGGGTAAGTGAGGGTTCATTCATACAACCGCCTGGACATGTAGGAGCCACAGAGAAAACCAGGGCCTGTTAGTTTTATAACAGAGAATCCAGCTTTCAGGTTCATTCCAGCATTGTATGTACCTCACACCAGAAGTTGAAACTACGAACGGTTCTATGTGTTTACAGTGTAGTTATCTAGGGGCTTTGTGGCCTTTACTCACATCACGCTCTTGAAGTCACTCTTTTCATTATGTGTGCTCATATCAGAAAACCAAAGAGCTGTGGCATGACTTCCCAACTGTAGTGTAAAATTGCAAGCATGCGCTTTATCAGTTATGTTTGAAGTATCCATTTACATGGATTATCATTGATTTCTTGCCTGTTTTATAAGTGACAACTTCTGATTTCTTCTGGATTTCAGAAAAAGGACAGCACCTTTCAAAGAGAGCATTCAGAATGGTGAGTGGTAAGATCCATGTCATTGCTTTGTTTACCCTGTTCCAAATAATTATGTATATAGCAGTGTATGATCTTTCTAATTTCTCATCAGTTCCTACATAAACTTGTGGATTATTCTTTCCCCTTTACAGGCAAAGAATTAGGCTGAGAGTGTATGAAACCTAAGGCTACCCAAGAGTCAATGGCAGAGTTGGAAATTCAACTGTGCTCCAGTCAACTGGCTGTTTGTGAGATGGAGGTGCCTGTTGTTTTTACAATCCTTGCCTCATTTGGCTGTGGTAACTAATGAGGCTCAGGGCCTCCCCCTCACCCCCAGCAGTTACTCAAAAATTTGTCTATGTTTTAAATATATCATTAGAGATATATGAGCATTTTTACTAATCCTGAAAAAAAATCTAGTAAGTTGCAGTTTCTGGGTGCTATTAATTAAAGTGGAATAACTCTAGAGAGCTCTGGATAGGTTCCTCAGGGGAAGTAGAAGATGTAGTTAGTCTTGACAGGATCTTGATGCAGGATCTTCAATTGAAAGTCCACCAGCTTATGTTGATCTAGAGACTGGCTCACTTTTTTTTTTTTTTACAGCTTACTTTACTTCTTGTCAATTAGCCTTCTCAATGGAAATTGGTACAGTTGGCAAGTCTAGCTACTTTGTCTCCTCAAGGCAACAGACATTTCTGCTTGCACACACATACACATGCGTGCACCCACACACAGCAGAGGAAGTCCTTTTTGTGCTCCTCATAATGATTTGATCACTTTTGTTCACAGAGGATGAAGCAGCAATGATGGATGAAATCCTGGGGCCCAGAGCTCAGATTCCAATCAGCAGGCCTTCATGCTCAGATGGAACTGCAGAAAAACCAACGGCATTGGGTATGAGTGGAAGGGCTGGAGATGAGATTGGTTTTGGGTAATGCCAATGCAAATTCAAGGTCTGGGATGGTAAAGGCCACAGCACTTTCCACTATTTCCTGTTTTTCTGTTTCCGTAGCTAACTCAGACATTGTGTGCTCTATGTTCTCGTTACAAGGGCTGTTTGTCTTTTGTGGTTCTTCATGTATAGATCACATTGGGTAACTGGGACAGAATTTGAACTCATGACAACCTCAGCTTTGAGTCTCTATTACTTCTAGCACTAAGGGTAGTGGAAATACATTTGAAAATGTCCAAACTCAGGGAACTCTGGTTAGTAAACATGTTGGAGTAATAAACCATGCTTTAAACCTGGCTTCTCCAAACTAACCATAATTTAAACTAGGGATGGATAACCTGTGACCCTCCAGATGTTTCTGCACTTTAGGTCTCATCATCTTTTGCCATGGTGGCTGGGACTGATGGGAGTTGGAATCCAGTAAGATTTGGAAAGCCACAGGTTCCCCATCCCAAACTAATAATAGTTTTGCAGTTTGTACATAATGGGGAACTCTGGTAAGTTTGAAATTAAAAGCAGAAGCTTTAATCTCACCCTACAGTGTTTAGCATTAAATCGGACAAGATCCAGTGTTTTTCTTTTCAAGGTTGAAAGCCTTGTTGTTCATTGTGTGAAGTCACACAGGTTCTACAGGAGTTTATTTTAGTATTTTTTAAAAACCTGCAGAACTTGCTTTTGACCAGAGGCAACAGTGGGGCAAAACAAAGATAAGTACATGTTGTGGGAAGCAAAACCTCCCTCCTACCCGTTTTCAGTTCTCTTAAAACCCATTGTCTGCCTGTAGCCTAAGTTTAGAAAGAACCATGCATACTGAGAAAGTGTATGCAAAATCTCAGCACAAATGACATTGATTTGTGTGATGTACTTTGATTGTGTGATTGTAGTTTGATTGATTATTTAGAACAGAGATGGGGAACCTTTCTCAGCCTGAGGGCTGCATTCCTGCCTTAGCAGCCTTCCGGGGCCACATGTCAGTGGTGGCTGGGAACAGAGACAAAAAAGGGCAAAGCAATGAACACAAAGTTTCCCTTTATACAGCAGGCTAGTTTCTACACACACCCCTCTGCAGCCTCCATTCAGGCCTCATCAGAGTTGAAGGGCACATTCCAGCTCGACAAAAACATTCAAGGAGAGTAGGGCTGCTGAAGGGTGTGGTTCAGAAAGAGCCTCAAGGGGCCTTGATCTAAAATATGAAATTGATTTGCATAGAGTATGGACAGCATTGCTGATGAAGATGTTTTTGCTCCCACGCTAGGCCAAGTGCCTCTGAGATTAAAAGATTTAGGTCCTTTAAGCGGAACTGAATTCTGGGACCTCACACATGTCTGTCCAATAAGCAACACTCTTCTTTGCCAGCATCAACACACTTTGCCACATGCCAGTGAAGCCACATTTACAGAGTTTTCCAAGTTCACCCTCTTGTTTTTTTCTGCCCATGACAAATTCTGCGCATAATTTCTGCTTCTTTTCTTAACCAGGCCCTGAAAAACATTTCCTTTTATTTTTAGTTAATCAGGTGACTAATGAACAGATAGAAACCCAAATGTTCATGCAGCACATTTAAAAATAAAAAACCTCGCAGCCCACCAGAAGGATTGGGGGGGGGGGCTGATGCCTGAGTCAGCAGTGGAACAGCCAGCCTGCACATCTCTTACTTAAGTTGAAAAGCCAGGAGTAAACAAGATTTTCTCTGTAGATGGGGGATAATAAATAAATAGGGGTACTCAAAAGAATTAAGATTGTACAGCTGGGCCATGTAGGATCTATGTCAAGACAAATGAAATTCTGTAACCTGTATAAGTTATGGAAACAGAACTTTTGCATAACTTATTTTATTTTGCATATTTTTCTTGCACTTTTAAAAACAAAGTTGCATGTTTTTATTCTGATTTTGCTTGTCACAGGGGTTGGCAAGGAGCTTTTCAGGGCACTAGGTCTCGATCTCCAGCCACCAGAATTATTATCCAACCACCTCTCACTTCAACATGCCTTGCTCACCTATACACTTTCAACCATATCTTTGCAACCACAAGGTCTAGAAACTTTAAAAAAAAAACCAAAAACCAAAAGCTGAGCCTCTCAGGAAACTGAATTCTAGGTCAAATACCTGTACATTCTGTTCTTTCTCTTCATTCCTTAAGAATCAAGGCATACAGTGGTACCTCGGGTTACATATGCTTCAGGTTACATACGCTTCAGGCTACAGACTCTGCTAACCTCGAAATAGTTCCTCGAGTTAAGAACTTTGCTTCAGGATGAGAACAGAAAACATGCTCTGGCGGCAGCAGGAGGCCCCATTAGCTAAAGTGGTGCTTTAGGTTAAGAATAGTTTCAGGTTAAGAACGGACCTCCAGAACAATTAAGTACTTAACCCGAGGTACCACTGTATATGTGAGTTGCATCTAGCTCCAGTTGTATCCATTCCTTCTTCTCTTTCCTTTTTCGCTCTTTTGGGTATCCAGAAGGAGGAAGGGAGGAGTGACAGACTAAGTTTATGCCACGGTGAGGAACATTGTTCCCTGGCTTCCTGTATGTTTTGATCCTTCTGAGTACAACATAGAAAATCTAGGGTGGTTGGCAATAGCCATATTCCCATCCTAGAGAGAGAGCATCTACAGATGTGTGCATTTGTGCAGAGAATCTGTGGAAAATAGAGTTTACCACCTAGCACTGAAATGTCAGCTTATGTCTGGTATCCAGCATAGCTGCACCTCCGCAGTCTTCCCCCATTGGTGACCCAGATACTAGTCCTCTGTTGTTTCCCCCAAGGATTTGGGCAGAGAGCCGACACAGACAACATACCAAGCATTCTGGCCCTGTGCTCCATTTCCAAGGAGCACAACATGCCATTGTGGGGTTGGCATCTCGATAGAACATTTGACACCAAATTGTTCTCACGATCTGTTGACTTTGTGCCTTTAGGGTCTGCTCCCAACGATATGGAGCTGATGGCCTCCATGATGCAGAAGATTGCTTCCTTGGAACAGAGCATCAAGAGCCAAGCACGGGCAATATACCACAAGGTGAAAATGCCAGGCTTCAAAGGAACTGCGTTGGCGTGGCAACAGTTCAAACTGGTCGTAGTTGATCTCAGAATCATGCTAAGATTTTATTTATTCAAGTGTTTATAATTTAATTATTATTTTTATATATTGCATAAATCAGTCTGGGTGGGTGGGTGTCTCACAACATGGTATGGGGAAAAAATATGATAAAATTACAATCTGATAAAATTACAATCATTTACACTATATATAGGCTGCCTTATAACAGAGTGATCTGTGATTGACTAAAACAGCACATTTTTAAAAAGCCATATGGGAATAAGAATGAAATGCCTCAAGTAAAAACACACCAGATAAGGACAAAACTATACATTAAAAAAAAAAAGATCAGAAGAATAGAGAAAAACAATATTGAAAGAAACACAGCATAATTTTAAAAGCCTTGGAAAATGAAATGTCCTTGCCTACTGTAAAAAAAGAAAAGAAAATTAGCAGAGCAATCCAAACCCACAATCTTCTGCTTTTGTCCCTGCTGCACTGCTGAAAATGCAGGCAGGCACTGGCTGTTGCAGGCAGTATCCTTGCTGGCGGTCAAGAATCTTTGGATCCTAAGCTGATCCAGCTACCAGCAATGTTCCAAATTTAGACCCCTCTGGTACACCATCCTGGAACTGTAGCAGCAGAAAAAGGGGCAGGGGAAGAGGATGAAGCTGCCCTCCATCTCCCACCCAGGACAGTATAAGTGGAGGGGCTTCAGGTATGGCAGTAGCTCCAACTGTTCTGCTTACAGACTCCAAAGAGTACAGCTTACCTGAGGAGGACATTCCACAGCCGGAGAGCCACGATGGAGAAGGCTCATTCACTCCTAGCCACTACCAGTAAACTCACAGTGGGAGGAAGGATGGACGGATCAGTCTGTTTCTGATCATGTCTGTTGATTCATAGCAATATATGAATCCTAGAAAGTATAATTTGTTAAGGGCGCTGAGAGTTGTTATTCTCCTCACAGAGCTACAATTCCAAAGTTCCTGGGAAGAGGCATTGATAGTTAAACTACTAGGGGGATCACTCTGCAACACAGAAGGGGGCACCCTGCAGATACCGTCATATCTGAAGGCTTGCTTCATAACATGAAGGAATCTTGCCTTTAATGTGGCAGCACCTATTCTTTGGAGTATCTAATGTATTTTTAGCGTCTGTTGAAGACTTTCCTCTTTGAGCAAGCTTCCAGAGTGGAATCTTATCCCAGTCAACATCTGTATTGGTTTTGAATTTGGTTTCCTATGTATGCAATTGTTCTGCTTGTATTGATGCAATTATTTTGTATATGTTTTTATTCTGTTGTGAAATGGCTTTGAGATGCTTCATAGGAAGCAGTTCATATATGACATGGAATTAATAGTGACTGGTAATAAGTTTTGCCTTTTATATTTGGATCTGCAGGATAAGAAGATCGAGGAGCTTGAGGAGCAGATAAAAGTCCTTAAGAAAGGGAAAGGTAACATTGTGGCACATGTCTCAATGCTGCTCCTTTTTCTCTTCAACAAGAGGCAGGTGCCAGGTTTTGCTAGACTTGAGGGATGCGTAGCTGAAGGGCAGCCTCCAGGCCACAGCAGGGTGTGTATGAGCATGTGGAGAGAGCAGCTTTCGAGGCCTCACCATAATGCAGGTCATGTTTTAAGCTCTAAGGCACCAGTAAGACCAGAACCGGCCAGAATTGCCCATTGGAAGGGTGTTCGAAGGTGAAACACTAACCTTCGCTTCCATTCTGAGTCAGAACATTAATTTATAACAGAGACTTGGACTTTTGCTGCTCTTTGTGCAGTTTAATATTAATCAAAATGAGGAACCCCTACATATCTTTGGGTGTTGTTTTTTTCTCTCTGCAAGCTGAATCTTCTTGGATGAGCAGAGCAGAGGAACTGGAAGTGATATGCCTTAAGTTGCAGCATCAGGTCTGGGAAATGGAGGTAAGATTAATGGGAGAGAGAGATTATTATTATTTCTCTATGAATCTGAGCTTAATTTCTATTCATTCTATGGGCGGCTACTGGGTTGGACGTGAACAAGAGCCTTTGAACCATCCAACCTCTCACCATGGTTCCAGGCAGAAATGGGAGGGAGGGGAATCTCTCTTTTGCCTTTTTTTTTACTCCTTAACACAAGGAGACAATGAGAAGCGGGGAAAGTAAGATCTCTAAGTTCTGGTTGCCCTCAGGTCTTCCAAATCCCCAGGGTTTGAATATGAGTTGGGCTCTGAGGAATTTTCACATCATCCTTATTTAAAATTGATTTAATTGGATTGCAGCCTTAAATAAAAGTTCCTTTTGGGAAAGTAGCAATTTTATTTTTCCTTCAGCATTTTTCTATTCTCACCATTGGTTAGGCTATCATCCTTCCTGTCTAAATTGTCCCCATTTCCCCCTATGCAGCTGTTTCTGAATGACTATGGATTGATCTGGGTTGGAGAAGGGACAGACTCTTTGGGAGAAGTGGCGGCACAAAGTGATGAAAGGAGTGAGCTGTCAAAGCGTTACTGGAAACCAGGTTTGCCGGGACAAAAGACTGCCCTGTTTTAGATACCTTAAGACAACAGAGCATACTTTACTTCCATTTAGACTGTAAGCTCCTTGGCGTAGAGACCAGTCTTTTCATTTATAGAGATCAATAATATGCTATGTACATTGATGGCATTGTATACATCATAAATTATCCCCATTGTCATTCATTTAATAACCTTACAAATCAGCATTACCAAGATTCTCATAGCAAATAATGTAAACTTGTCAGGCACAAGTGGTTTTGGGGAAAAAGTTTTCAATTTATTAATTTTAATTAAACTGTTTTAGTCGTACCAAAGCCAGTTTCTGAAAGCTTTTGCCTTGAAAAGCAGGGTATAAATGGAGAAAAACTCCTAATAACTGTCTTGAACCTTGAGGTATCATGTACCCTGCTTTGCAACAACTCTATATCTAGAGCACAAAATCCATATTTGTCCCTATGGGTTGTACACAGTGTATGACTAAGTAACTTGTTACTTCAGCACAAGGATTTATGCTTGTGCAACAGAATTCCTCCCTCTCCTTTCTCTTTGTATTCCCCAAATTTGTAATAATAATAATAATAATAATAATAATAATAATAATAATAATAATAATAATAATAATAATAATTTGTTCTTGGGAGTTTTCCCAACCCTCCAGAGCAGATTTGGGGAGGGCACCGGGCATTTCCAGGAGGAGGAGAGGGTGGAAAGTTCATTTGAACAAGCCTAAGTCCTTGCACTAACAGAGCAAGTGCATTAGCTACCACCCTATGTAATCCAACACTAATTGTAGAAATAGTGTCCTATTGACAATATTCCTCCATTACTTTGTCACGGAAATAGCTTTTCTTGATGCTGGAAAAGATTAAATGCAGTTTAAAATGCAGTGTTGAGAGTTTCCCTTAGTCATTTCTCCTCCTTTTGTCATAGGTGAATCCATCGTTTCAGAAACCAATTTTGATTTAATTTTTGCAAACCTGAAAGATTTAAATGCTTTGGCTGGGGAAGGCATGTCCCAAATCGAGCACACGGCAGGGGGTGCTAGGCTGAAGCAGCTGGACTCAATCCCCCTCACCTTCTATCAAAATGGGATTGTCATGTTCAAAGGGCCTTTCCGGTCATATGAAGAACCTTCCACGCAGGTATGAATCAATACTTAAATAAATTTAATCACTGACTGGCTGGTTGGCTGGCAGGTGTACCTATAGTAATGGCTACATGATGACAAAGCAGACATTCTTGTGTGCGTTTCCTGATAGCACAAAATCCCCGCTTTCTGCCCAGAAATAAGTTACAGCATTTATGACTCCTTCCATTTTCCTGTAGGAAGCCTGATAAGACGACGAGATTATATACAGTTATGCATAATTAGGGCGGTCAAGGTTCAGTGGAATTGCACTCGTTCACTTTGGACGGGTGCAATCTTCTCTGAAGGCTAGTGCTCAGAGCTTTGACTGGTTCTGCTAGTTTCTAGCAGAAGCTGGCTGTGCATAGTGCTGATTGGCTGACATCATGAAAGCACATCTCCCACTCTCTGCAGCAGTTTTTCTTGTCTAAAAATGATTGACTTGTAATAATAGTAATAATTTGGCACAAGCACAGACCAAATTGATGCATTTGCGAGGTTCTTTTTAAAAAACGAAAGCCTGCCTGAGGCAGGGGTGAGGGGGAAACGAGAATAACCATAACTGGATTCAGACGCAATGCCTATGTAATGTGACGGACTTTGGGCTTTAACATTTCAGTGACACCCTGTGCAATGCCAAAATTCGGCACCTCCTGCCTCTTGCCATCCATTATTTATCATTGTTGCAGCACCTCCTGTGGTGCCCTCTCGGCTTGGTGCCCAATGTGGGCGAACTTGTTGTGCTCCCCTAAATTCGCCTCTGATGTGAGGTGGGGATGATGACAGCCAAGCTCTTTTTGCAGTAGAAAAAAATATATGCTGCCTTATGCTTGCACATACATCTGTATGCACCACAATTTTCAGGAGCTCAGGTGGATGGTGAAGTGGTAGGCTACTAAAGTTTGCTTTCTCTCAGACTCCAGCTTATTGGCTAAATGGGGAATCTGATCACCTAAATCCTAACAAACCAGAATCAGTGGCTTCTACAAAACCATAATCTGGGTAAACATGGGATAGGCCATCTCAGGCCCAAGGGCCAAATGCTGTCTTCTAGGCTTCCCTATCTGGCTGTCAGAACTCTCCCAGACCACACACTCTGTCCCTAGGCCACACTGCTCACTGGCCCTTCTTCACCACCCCCCAAGTGTTTTTGCTGTGCTGGAATGTGTCCATGAACTCCAATGCCTGGATGGAGAATAGAGAGGGCTTTGGGAGTGTGTGTTGAAACTGGTCTCCTGTACAAATGATGAAATTTACATTTCATGCCCCGCCCACTTTTGCCTCTGGCCCCACCCAGGACTGACACGTGGCCCTCAGAAGATTGCTCAGAAGGGAATGCGGCTGTCAAGCTGAAAAGGTTCTCCATCCCTGGAACTGACCAGTAAATCATGAAGAATTAGGGGCTGGGGCAGGAAGAGTATAGCAGGGAAGAGATAAAAGAGAAGGAAGGTATTGAACCTTGCAGGGTAGGGACATGGTGAAGGAAGCAAATAAAGATTCAGAGCTGCAGCATAACCCAATTCCCTTTCCACTGCAGAGGGCAGAGGAAAGGACTGCCAGGACAAGTATTCATAGTGATCTTGAAATAAGAGAAACTATTTAGCATCTGTCCATGAAGAGACAAGAGATGAGAATTCAGTCTCTCCCAAGGGAATTGTGCTATTAGGCTGGAGTGGGCAGGAAGTATACTGTGGCCCATTGGCCCACTTCCAGTGGGTCGCTTAGTACCAGCTGGATGCTGAGATTCTTGCAAATAATGTTGGGCTAGATAGACTTTGGCTGGATCTTGAACAGTATCTTACGTTCTTAAGTGGGAGTGCGTAGTCAGGGTCACTGAACACAGATCTGGAGCATGCACTCTTGCTTTATAAATTTAAAATGTGCGATTGAACCATGAGGTTCATCTCATTTTTTAAACAAGAAAAAGGTAGACTACAGAATCCGGGAGTCATCCTGCCCTGATCTAAGGCGCTCCTTCAGAAACACGATATGTGCCTCCTTGAAAGATGCTACCAAGGCTCTTCAGGCCCACGTTAGCAGCATTTCTATGTGCTGCTTGAATATATTCACAAATCACACAGAAAGATGGGTTGGGTGAGCAAAAGGGAAATGAGGGGGGTGAGTGCAGTACCCTCTCCTGCCTGTGGTCTGCCCTTGCCACAACCCCTTTCTCTGGGGTTTTTACTTGAAAATTGTATCCCCCATCCCTCTCTGTTTATGCGATTGGCACAGTTTCAACCTGAAGGAAGTGCCCCCATCATGCTTACTGTGGCCATCATTCTAGAAATGAGTTACAAGTTAAGGAGGAAGTAACGGAAAGCAAGAATGAGCACAGGGCTGTTCTGCTTCTGACTTTGAAACCATTCCAACTTCCGTCCTCAAGCACCAAGTCCCACCTGCTGCCTCTGCAACTGTTTGAAAGTTGTCCTATATAACTCACACATGGGACCTTTCTGTTTGCGGCCATTGCAGCTCCCTACGCATAATGAGCAAGCTGCTGGACTCTTCACCACATGTAAATCCTTGAATTTTGAACATCCTTCTTCAGCCCCCGCAGAGATGTTTTGCAGCAGCAAGCAGGTTGCCAGACTTTCCTCCCAGTGAATGAGTCAACTATTGGCTGAACATTTTAAAAAAGCAGTACTGTGTATTTTTGAACACTCAATTTTGTAACTGCCCAGTCTCTACAATTTTTTACCAGGAGAAACCTGTGGTGAAAAGGGTGCAGGTTCTTTTCTAGCAGATGCCTGAAAAAAGCTTGATTTTCCTTTTTTAAAAAAAGTTGATAGTTCTTAAAGAGAAAGTTTAAGCTTAAGTCTCAGTCCCTGTGAAGGGAAGACATGGAGTCTAGTGACTCACACCCTCTTTTGGGAGAATGTACTTATTTTTAAGAGACTTCAGGCTGTACTCCAGTTTACACAACTTTCAGACTTGCACTGTGTGGGACTGAGTCATAGAGCCACATGTAGGGTATCCAAACAGTGTCTCATATGCAACCTGACCAGGCCAGACGGCTTAGCTTCTGCAAGGTAACTGGGCCATGAGCCTTCAGATCATACCCTAGTACCTAGCTTGGTCTATCTGCAAGTGTTTTCACTTTACAAAGATCTGAATGGTATAGGTGAGCTATGTGGAAGCCAGGGAGGCCTGTAAGCAGAGTGCTGGATGTGGGCCTGGCTTCAAATCTGACTTTTCATAATAGGCTCATTGTATGGTCTTGGACAGATCTCAGTGGCTTCCATGCTGCATCTGTAAACATGGGGATAACAACAATTAACCTTTGTGGTGGTGGTGGTGATAAATGAAATAAGGAAGATGAGCTAGTAAACCGAAAACTAATTTGCTCTTCAAAATTATTTTCTGAGCATTATTATGTAAAATGTTCCCTGTCTGTTCTCTGAATATTTGATATCAATATTCAGTGATATTAGATATCTGACAAGGACATACAGTGAGATTTAGATGTTGTGTTTGACACCTGCTAGAAAGGAAAGCTGTCTGGAGATACCTCCAGATCTAAGGATGGGTCCCCACAATATGAAATAGAAGGCTGCCCACCTCCCCAAATGGCAGCCCTGTATTGAGTTCCCCCTGATCACCATCCCATAACCTTTGCTGTATCCTGGTATCATTATTCTCAGCATTAACCAACCCCAGTTGATGGTGTGAGGATAGGGAAATATGCTCAGCTTTGTGGTTGTACCCCAAGGAGGAGGAAGTGAAACCCGACAGTGTTATGACCCAGACTGCCAGCAGCACCCGGAACACTGACTTGGGAAGAGTAGACAGCTGAACCAGGAAGCATTGATTGGGGCCCTGACGTAATCTAAGTTCTGCCATCAAGGCCCTTATAAGCCAGGCGTGCCCAAATCTGAAATGTTTGAGCCACTGACCCCCAGTGGCTGCAGCTCCAAAGCCAGACATCAGCAACCTAGTCTCAAATGTGCCTCCAAGCCTGCTCACCACAAGAGGCAGAGGTAACAGAATGTCAGGCTCCAGGCTCTTTAAAGCCTATCACCCTCTTGACCAAAATGTGCTGGGTCATCTTGAGGTGGAGAATGAAATCAAGGAGGCATCCAGAGCAAAGGGCTGGTGGGACCTGGGTTTGTGCCTACACTCAGGCCCAGGGGCTATAGTTCAGTTAGCACCAGCAGTCCTTGGAGCAAGTGGTCTACCCCCTAAGACCTGTCCAAGGTTCTGAAGGTTGTGGCTCTGATCTGCCTGTCAGTCCCCTGCTCGTGCTACCTGCTACAGACCACTGCCAGAATTGCTGCCACAGATGCTGCTGTGAGCTCATGCACACCAAGACTGGGCACTCAGAGCTGCCTTCCAAAGTTGTAGTCTGCTTCTTCCTTATTGTGGGTTTCTCGTCCCTGAACTGTTTTGAATTTGAGCTACAATTCCTCTTTCAGACTGAATATTTTGCAGTCAGAATTGGATTGGTGAAATTGAGGTTGTTGGCACATTTACATTTTGTTATGTGCATTTTTTGTTTCACCTCCAGCTCTGGTAAGAGAGTATTCTGTAAACTGAAATAAATGAGAGGTATTCCTTTATCTGGACTGCTTATTGTGGTTGTTCAGTCACCAGACAGCCCTGGGGGCCTCTACTGTGGTTCCTGCGGGTGCTATGGCACCCTTAACCCTGCCCTCCTCCTCCCTTAGCACCTGCCAAAGCCTCTGTTCCTCCCAGTGTTTATTTTTACTTCAAAATTTTATCTTATTTTATTTCAAGCTTTTTTGGCATGTTCTTTTCTGGCTGTTTGGTTGGTTCCTTTTTCCATTTTTATCTTGATTCATTTTAATTCTGAGGGGGCTGTAGGTTTTTTAGTTGTTTCAGTGTTCTGAGCATCACCAGTTGTTCATCTGTGAAATTTGTATTTTGTGGTTCTCGTGATAGTGTCTGAAACTGGTCCCCAGACCCAAAAAATGTTTAGGGGCACTACCACCCTCAGTATGGAGAAAAATCTGACATGTGGGCCCTGCTTGTGGTTTCAGCAACTCCTACGAGATATCATGGATGGTTACTTCCCTTCTGAGCTGCAGAAGCGTTACCCAGATGGTATCCCATTTCAGGTATGCCACCCCCTGCTCTCCTACAGCTTCCTGTTTATTGAGTTCTTCATTTGCAGAAGTTTCATTTGCTTATCAAAAATGTGGTCTGAAGTTAGAGCAGCTCCATTGTTTAAGCAGAACTGAGAACCTCTCTTTGCTCTAAGCAGTTATAATGTTTTTTCCTCTTTCAGGAACTGATTGTTCTATATATGAGGAACTAAAGAGTGCTTTTTGCTTAAAAAACTGGAACACTTTTCAGTTCTTAAAAATGGAGATTCCCTCCTTAAAAAAAAAATATTTTCTGCGATCATCATTGGTTGTTCTGTGTGCAGTAATAGATTATCACTGACTGTGTGGATGAACATTCTCTGGAGAAAATGAGTCTGTGTTTCATTTTGAGACCCAAGAAAGGAAGAGGAGTGGGAGAAGAGAGCTCTCAGGCAAATGGGAAGAATAATAGGACATGATCTCTGAGAAAAGGGCAGACCAAAAAGCCAGAAAATGTTAGACAAGAGGTGGGGAACCTGTGGATCCCCAGATGTTATTGGACTCCAGCTCCCATCAGCCCCAGCAAGCATGATCAATGGTCAGAGATGATGAAAAGCATACAGGTGCAAGTTACCACAAATTAAGAAATATGTTATGTTCTGCAAAATGACAGTGCCTGAAAGTGGTTATCATATTTGTAAGGCTTGTCCCCAAGTTGTGTTTGCTTTATGGAAAGTTGAAACTGTGATAATAAATGATCTCCTCTTGTGCACAAATTCTTCTTTTAGATTATGCCCAATATTATACAAGGCAAGTAAAGAATTAGAGATTAACTTGCTATAAACAGCCAAGTTTGAAAAAGCATGTGACTGGAAAGTTGCTGCTTCATCTATTGAGAACTGATTAGAAGAGGATTAAATATATCACTTGTGGTAAAACCTAACTGATTAGGGGGCCATACTAAGCTCCCCGAATGGTCATTGGATGTTGTGGACCTCCCTCTCTGATTACAGAGAGGGAGGTCTGCGAGTAGAGAAGGTCTGCCATTGGAGAACTTCTTGGGGGAGCCATGGAAACCACACTAGGTAAAAGGTAAAGGATCCCTGGACGATTAAGTCCAGTCAAAGGTGACTATGCGGTTGCAGCGCTCATCTTGCTTTCAGGCTGAGGGAGCTGGCATTTGTCCACAGACAGCTTTCCGGGTCATGTGGCCAGCAGGACTAAACTGCTTCTGGCGCAATGGGACACCAGGACGGAAACCAGAGTGCACAGAAACGCTGTTTACCTTCCTGCCGCAGCGGTACCTATTTATCTACTTGCACTGGCGTGCTTTCAAACTGCTAGGTTGGCAGGAGCTGGGACAGAGCAATGGGAGCTCACCCCCGTCTGCAGGGATTCAAACCGCCAACCTTCTAATTGGCAAGCCCAAGAGGCTCAGTGGTTTAGACCACAGCGCCACCCGTGTCCCACTCTATTAATTCTCTGATGCAACTGAGGAAAGGGTGTGTGTTGGAGGCAGATTGTGGGAGGCCCTAGCTTCACAGGATACAAGGCCTTTTGTTCCCTGAACATGCACTTGACTAGGAAGTAATACTACACTCTTGAAGCTGGTGTAGTTCTTTCCTTTTCCATTGAAACCAGTTGCAGCAGGAATGGGGGGGGGGGAGAAAAAGTAAACAGAGAGGGACTGCCACCCATCCTTTGACCAGGCCAGTGCTAGCCCAGGGGTGCTCCCTAATAAAGTGGTGCCATAGTCTCTTCTCCCACCCCTACCACCTTCCATGGGATTACTGCGCCCTTCTGCTTTAGAGAAAGAAGGGAAATGAGGAAGTCATTTATCAATAGACTATTTTTAACTTTCTAGAGTAGTGTATTCGGGTGGAACTACTGATACAGCATTGGTCTGATCCTTGTCAGCAGAAGTGACTTATTCAGATGATGTGTTTTGCTTTGTTTGGAGGCAACTGGAGCAGTTTCTTCCAAACAGGTGGGAGGAAAGTGTATTGCTTTCTTGCCCATTATTCGTAAGTAGGTGGAGGAAACTGTGTTTCTTTGTTCTCATTATTCATAGATGAGTGGAAAATGTTTTACATAAAAGAGAAAAGAACAAGAACAAGGAAATGTGGTCTGGGGTTTCTGAAACCAGCCCCTGTGAGGCTGCTGAAGGGAAGCACCTGCTCCTTTTCCTTTTGCAGGTGAAGTGGGGGGATTGCCAGAACTGAACAGTCAGTTAGACTCAAGCAGGGAAGAGTGCACAAGTTGCAGGGTCCAAATGTTAGCTGGGGCAGAGGATCCTCTCCAGAGGATCATGCAGTTAGAGATCCAGAACACGTGACAGCTGGGCCTCTTTGGCTTCATATACCTTTCTGGTTTCCCATTTGCTCTCACCTTCTAGTTTCTGAGAGAGAGTTATAGAATCAAGTAGTGATGTATTTTTGTACGGTACTATGCTGGGTTGCCAGAGGGAATGTCCGTGTGTCATGGGAGAAAATTCACAGCACAAAGGAAAGTAACGCATTATGTAGCAGGATAACCAGAAGCCTTTCTCCCACCATGCTTATTTTCAGAGCACATGCAGAGTGTTTTTTCTATATGTGTGTGTGTTTCTTTCTTTTTCTAGGATAATGTTTCAAATATGCAACCCACTTCTTCCCATAGCCCAGATTGGGGCAGCCTGGAAATGAGCTGCCACTTGATTTTGTGGATTGCATAAACTGGCCCTGAGTTTGCTTGTGGATTTTAAGTGGTGGCTCTTGGATTAGATTCATATAGCTTTTCTGATAGAAGGAAAGAACAAGGGGTGGGACCCTCTTTTCTTTTATACAGAAGCTGGTCTGGTAGAGGCAGTGGCACATCTTGGATCATTGAGACTCCTCACACAAACACATTGGTTTACAATGGCTGCAGAAAAGGCCTTGCTTGTGGTGGCTCCCAGCCAAGGGTATCCAACCTATTTTACTCAGAGTAGTCCCTTGAAATTACTGGACATTACTTAGCCATCCCGGTCTACTCTTGAGTAGGACTAGATTTGAATACAACCATGAATGTTTGGCTTTGAGTGAACCTTCTTTGACCCACCTCTCTCCAGGTGTGGTTTATTGAGTTATCAAGCATTGCCAGCTTGATAGGCAGTGCCACTGTGGCAACTGTCCTGCTGATCAGGTTGAGGCATCCCTGCTGACTGATTATTTGTTTTGCAGTTTCTGCACAAGGAAATGATGACTTCTCTTCCATCCTCCATTTGTCACTGCTGCCAACATTTACTAACACTTCCTTGCGTAACACTGAACTCTGGAGTTTGGGGTTAGGTAGGGCACTGAATAGCAATACGGGTCTCTTCCACAGGTCACCGACAAGAGAGACACCGTATTTCAGGAGAGGAAGCTGCTGCATAAAAGTTTTCCGGGCCAGGGCCACGTCATTGGCCTTGCCAGACCAAGCGGATTAAAGGAGACAAATGAGATACCAGGTGAGATGGTGGTTAATAGTGAGTGTAGGAAGGACCCTAACTCAGCAGCAGTATTTGCTTGGCATGCAGAAGGTCTCAGGTTCAATCCCCAGTATCTCTAGGTAGAGCTGGGAACGGTTCCCTCTCTGCTGCATAGCTGCTGCCAATCAGAATAGACCGTACTGATGGACCAATGGTCTGACTCACTATAAGGCAGTCTCCTATGTTCTCGTTCCTATTTGTTTGATTTCCTTTGATCTCTCTCTCTCTCTGTGTGTGTGTGTGTTTTTGTGTGTGTTGTTCAGTGTTTTAAAATTCTGGTCCTCAACTTATCTCATTATTTTCTTACAACCACTCAGTTAATCATGGCTCCATTTCATGTATGACAAAACTTTTGGCATTGTGTTGAATGACATTTTGTGTTATATGCTGCTTGTGATGGAAAGGACCTTTTGTTTTCCCCCACCAGTCAAACATCTTGACAAAAAGAGCTTCAGAAAGGCTTTTTGGAAAGAAGTCAATTACTAAAAATGAATGAATGAAAAAACAATGTATATACTACTACTAACAACAACAATAGTGTAACATGCTGCACTGGGGTGGGGGGTGAGACAAAGAGTGGTTTCCAAAGTGGCTTACATCAGTAAAAGGTACAATTCAGAGCTGATGGCAGGCACTGTAACTAAATCAAAACAAGACGCAGGCCCCCTCAGGCTCCCAAATGAAAATGACAAAGAAAAGAGAGTGGAATAGAGGACAAAGACAGAGGAAGAAGATCCTGTCTGCCAATACCAGAAAGGAGGGATGAGCTGTGAAACAGGCATTTATATTGACTGTATACTAGGCTGATCTCCCCTTGCTGGCTTTCTTAACTGATGAGAAGTAGCACTTTGGCTGGTGGCAGAGATGGGCTGTGCTTTGGTCAGCTGTCGTCAGTTTCAGGGCAAATGGCTTGGAGCTCTTTCTTTTCGTGGCTGGCAAGCAGAGAGTAATTGTCTCTCACTTCTGCAGCCACTGGATGACAAGATCTTAGTGCAAAGTCCCAGAGCTATGCCTAGGGCTCTTTCTTTGCCTATCTGCTAAAGCAGGCGTATCCAAAGTCCATTTTGGGGGCCTAATCCAGCCCCCTGAATGGTTTAATCCAGCCTCCGTGGCAGTTTCTTTCTTGGGGTAAAATCCAAAAAAAAGCTCAACAACCTCAACCCTAAAAAAACACATCTCAACAACTTTGGTCGGCCCACTTCATCAAATCTGGCCCTCTCTGAAAAAAGTTTGGGCACCCCGTACTAAAGCATTTACTCCCACAATCCTCTGTTATGGCAGGTCCTAAGCTCACCATGGAGCAGTTTTTGAATAAGCTTCCAAAGTCACGGATTCAAGATGGGCAAGTGATCGATATCCGAGGAGAAATTAAAAAAACCCTCCAGGTAGGATGGAACTCCTTCTCCAGCCTCCATGTAATGGGGTTTGATTCTGGGGTTCCTTCTTCTGGTCAGCACTTCTGCTAATAACCACTACTTTGCAGCAGTATGGGCTTAGGTACCATATCACTACCTAGAATCCTTCTCCCTACCAGAATTTAATTTCATGACCAGGATGTGCCAAAAGAATATAGGATGCACATGTGGAATACCTGCCCTTTTAGGGTCTCCTTCCTTGTCCACCTAAAGCCCAGCACAAATGATACACAATGATAATTGTTCCCCTTCTGCCTTCATTTTGAGAATCAATGCTGACATGGTAGCCAAGGTTAGGGGGGAAAGCACATCTCTAATCCCAAGTATCAGAAGGACAGGAAATTGGGGTTCATATGGTCATCTTCTCACTTCCCCAAAGGCTATATATTATTGGCATTCAAATAGTGCCATCAAGCTAGTGTGGTGTGGTGTAGTGGTTAGATTAAGGGTTGCCAGCCCATGGGCAGCTTCCCCAGACTCTGAGCTTGGAGTATGAGCTGAGTTTGGAAGTTTTAATTAATAGCCAAGGACCCAGGACCAAACCCTTCAGTTCTAAACAGTACAACAAAAGACAACTTTGCTTCGTCACTATGTTTGGATGTGCTGAGATGAGCAGGGCAGCTGATTCTGTTTACATTTCTCAGGACAGTCAGATTTTGACACAGGTTTCCTTCTTTGGTTCCAGGGCTCAGGTGGAAAAAGCCACGAAGTGATTGTGGTGGAGACCCCTAGTATTGCAGCAATGAAGAAGAGGTAAAAAAGAAAAGGCAATTTCCTCTCTTCACATTAATGGCTGTGGCATCTTGCAGTCTCCTCACGCTGTAGTGCAGGAGGCGGAACCTGCGGCATTTCAGATGTTGCTAGACTACAACTCCCGTCCTCCTTGACAACTGGCCACGCTGGTTGGGGCTGATGTGAGTTGGAGTCCAGCAGCATCTGGAGGGCCACTGTAGCACTTTCTTTCACACTGATGCCCTTTATTCAGAGCTGCATTGAGAAGTATGTGATTTGGGGTCTCATAATTCACCTTTGACAGGGGACAGACAAGTCCCTTACTCACCTGATTCCTTGAGGGTTTAAGACCCATCAGCTACCTTCACTTGGTTTAGCTGGCCAGTTGAAGCCACTTCCTGGGGTTTGGCCACTGTCAGCTTCTAGGAGCCACAGGTGAGAACTGAGTGCACCAAAGGCGGTCAAGCTACTGCACAAACTGTCCCCCACCAGAGGTACTGCTCCTTCCTTAATACCCCATATGGGTCGAACAAGTTTCTGCATACAGATAGGTAGCCGTGTTGGTCTGCCATAGTCAAAACAAAAAAAATTCCTTCCAGTAGCACCTTAAAGACCAACTAAGTTAGTTCTTGGTATGAGCTTTCGTGTGCATGCACACGAAAGCTCATACCAAGAACTAACTTAGTTGGTCTTTAAGGTGCTACTGGAAGAAGTTTCTGCATGTTCTGTTGAGGGAAATGAGGGGCAGATGGGGCTCGTCAACCTGGGAAGGTTTCCCCACCCTCTTCAAAGAAAGCATTGTCCCTTCTCTAACCAGCTTTTCTGATCTTCAGGTTGGAAGGGAATGAAAAAAAGAAGGCCTCCAACCCCAATGTCGCAACTCTTCGGATAAAGTCAGAGAATGGGGAGAAGACCTATATCATCAAGATGCCATTCACCGAGACCATCGGAGACCTGCGCCAGCATCTTGCCCAGAGCAGGTAGTAACAGGGATCATTCTAGCAGATAATCTTTTGTAGAAGTTTCTGGACCTTAAACTCCTGATTCTGCAACTAACATCAGCAACAAAAGTCTGTGCTCACTATAAACAGATAGGGGGAAAGTGTGTGTTTTTGCTTAATGCTGCCAATTTATTCAGATTGATCTCCCCCTAGAATCTGGGAGGACCAAGCCTCTGCAATGCAATATGGGGAGTAAATGTTTGGGGGCGAAGGGCAAATAATAAACACTTTCAGGGTTATGATTGACTTTCAGGTTATTGGGGAGGGACAAGGTAGGAAAGATCCCTTGGCTTTGGGGGAGTTGATCTATCCCATCATACAGGCATCTAGGTTCCTTGCTCACCTTCCAGTTAATTTTTCACCATTGTGTATCCTACTCCTCACTATCTGCCCTTATTTCCTTCTGGCTTTGACCTCTGCTGAGTTCTCCAGTTTCTGCCACAACTCCATAGTGGAGTTTGTACAAGGAATAAATAAAAGTGCCTGTGAGATCACATACCACGTCAGCTTCTTCCACTTTGGCATTGCTCTTGTATTTTTGGTTGGGGTCATGATACCATCAAAGCAGGTAGGACTATTGCCAAGGGATAGTAGTAGTGAGGATCCTGGAAAATCGTGCCATAGGCACTGTTCATTCCATGCCCAGTATGTGTGGTTGAACCCACAGAGATTGTTATGACCACAGGAAACAGGGTAAGCTGCATTGCTCAGATGTAGAGATACTAGGGATCATGCAAAGAATATTCATTCTTGAATGTAAGGCGCCTCTCTAGAGCAGTGTTTCCCAACCGGTGTTCCGCGGCACACTAGTGTGCCGCGAGACGTTGCCTGGTGTGCCGCGAGATGTTGCCTGGAGGGAGGCGGGCGAGTCGGGCGGCGAGAGGCGGGGCGGCGGCGGCGAGGAGAGGCCGCCCAGCGCGGGGCTCTCGCCGTCTGCCTGCCTGGCTGCCTGCGTGGCGCTGACGTCACGGGGCTGTAACGTGCCCCACATAGGTACACACGGGGCGGCGAGCGAGCTCCCTCCCACATCCCATCGCCGCTCGCTTCGGCCGGCCTACTGGGCTGTTGCAGGCGGAAGGCCTGCGCATGCGCGAGGTTTTCGTGCCTTCGGGATTCCCTTCACGCCTTCCTCCTCCCGGGTCCTTGAGAGCGCGGGAAGCGGCAGCGCGAGACCGGCGTTGAGCCTGGTAGGTATTGCGCTTGCCAAGGCAGTCATTTGGGAAATGAAAACTTGCAAAGCAAGCAACCAGTTCAATCTGAAGTACGTGTATGCTTAATATCCTGTATCTGAAACCTGTTCTGCCCCCTCCCCCACACTTGGTGCCATTTTCATCTACACATGCAGCAGAGTAAGTTGACCCAGAATAGTACCAATTCAGATGGCAGATGGGAGAATGACAGTGCTGAATGCTTTCCCATGTAGAACAGTCCCTGCAAATAAAAACCTAGCATATTTGGAAGAGGGATGCTAGCCTAACCATTACCTTCTATGCTGTTACTATTTTTTTATTTTTTTTTACATAAGTAAAAAGTGACCTTTCCCCATCTGGCATGGTGGTGTGCCTCGAGATTTTTTTCATGAAACAAGTGTGCCTTTGCCCAAAAAAGGTTGGGAAACACTGCTCTAGAGAATAAATTGAAGTGCGGTGTTCTGCTGTCTTTTCCTTAGAGAATCTTCCAGTGGTATTATTGTCTAGGTCCTGCGGTGACATAGCATAGTTTCTGAAATGCCTCCCAAAGCCAAAGCAACAAAGATGCTGATAAATTTAAAACAATTATTCAATAGGTGCATTCAAATTTTAAATTTTTGCATTAAACAAATTATTTGCATTTGAATGTCAAATTCCAAATCAGCTTACTTACAAACACTATTCTGCTCATTTCCTAGGGGAGAAGAAATGGAACCTTACGAGATCATCAGCACTTTTCCTTATCGAGTGTATAACAACAACTTCATGACGCTGGAGGAGTGTGGGCTGGTCCCCAATGCCTCACTTCGGCTGCAGAAAAGGGCCCCGTCAACCAAATCACAAGGGCAACAAGTGTAATGGTTTACAGTGGATGATTCATCAGGCTTGGCTGCCACTCAGCTAGGGAGTAGTGTGCCTTCTTCAGGAGAGCCTGTGCAAAAATGACATCCTCTAGTCAGAGGGAGAAACAGGGAAGGACTGACCTTTCCACTTACCCAAGCTCCAACCTTTGCGGCTATTCTCAGCACTCCAGTCAAAGGAGAAAGCCGGGGTTGGGGTGTAGTTGGAATACTGGGCATAGACCCTCCCTTTGTTACCCAGCTTGAGTGGGGCTTAGCCCCAGGTCTAGGTTATCATTAGCCTCAAATGGATGAAGAAACTCTGGCCCTTGTAAAGCTCTCATCAGAAACACCAGACCCTCACTCCAAGAAAGATTGCACAGTTGGGCTACTGGTGCTAGCATGAAGTTTCCCTTTTATAAGCTGCTGCATCACCAAATGAGCGCCAAGTCCTAAACCATGCACTGGTGCACACCATGTGCTTGATGGCACCCACCCTGTTCCTGTAGCCTACAAGGGCCTCAAAAATGGGGTTTATCAACTAGTTGGTGGGGTTAGGGGCACCTGGTAATTCATCTAATGCAGGTGTGCAGAAACTTCAGCCCTTCAGATGTTACTGAACTATAATTCCCCTCTTTCCCTGGCCATGAGTTACACTTGCCGAGGCTGATAGGAGTTATGGTTCAGCAACATCAGAAAGGCCTATGGTTCTTCACTAGTTCTAATGGGAAAGGGAGATGAACATTTTTTGCCTTTCTTGAAGCTGAAAAGGATCTGCGTACCCAACCATTGAACTTGGTGTGGCCACAAAGGCAACTCAGCCACATATTAGCTCCTCTTCCCCTGTGCAAGACAGGGAGTCCCAATGTCAGCCAGCCCATACCCAGTGTGTAATGCCCCAAAGCTTAGTGAGAAGTGCCTCTCCCCCCCCCCCATAGCGTGGATGCAGTGCCAGAGCAGCCCATCCCTTGTCTCTGGCAGGAGTGGGGAGTCTTTGTCCCCCTGGATATTGCTGAACTACAACTCCCACCAGCCCCAGTAAGTCTAGCCAGTGCGAGTTGTAGTTCAGTAAATGCTGGAGGGACTAGGTTCCTCACACATACACTCTGGCTACAGCCAAAGATGGATGTCCTGCAGTTAAAAACCAGCCAGTGTGTGGGAGAAATTACCTTTAGCAGGTCTCTTTTGAGGCCACAACAAAACACAGTTAATTTCTCTTCCTCTGGTGAGTTATATGCAAAGCTGACCACCTTAACAGCAACCCACCTTGTTCAATACAATGTCCCTTGTTATTGTTTTCCTGTTTGCCCAAGGCTTGCAATATTAGGTAGTGAGTTCTCCCACCCCCTGACTGATCTTTGTAGTTGTTCAGTAAAGAGGGCTTGACAGCCATGTTTCAGGGTGTCCTTCCCTACTCCTTCTGGGATGGAATTTGCATGTTTCAATGATCAGTCCATGTCAAAACCTCCCTTCCTCCAGAAAATTAGCTAGCCAGAGAAGGGTTTAAAAATAATTATTAAGCCACAATTCTGCTAAAAAGTGGTGTACTGAATGGGCTCAGCCTTTTTTTTGACAAGGAGGAAGGACTCAAGCATATCCAATTCCTCTTCTTCCCCACCTTCTAATTGTGCCGAAGTTATGAAGTTGTACTGTTCTGTGAAGACACCAGATGCTTTTTCTGACCTGTTAAATTGGTTCTTAGTGCTTACTAATCCATGACTGCCTTATCTACTTAATTGTTACTGGTTGCATGCCACAAGGAGAGATGTCCAAAGTTTGGGTGATCTGCACCTTTTCAACAGGAACGCCAATGCATCTGGCTTTCCCTCTGCATAACACAGCACCTCTCACCCCTAAAATCACCAATGCCCAGGAGGTCCACAAATCTCAGCCATTTGTGCTCATTGTAAAACTCTGCCTCTTCTGATTTGAAGCTTTGTCCTGAGTCTCCACAGCCTAGCACCAATACAGAAACAAGACCCCAATCTCCCCTCCTTGGTGCCAAACTGGGAGATGAGGACTACTTTCCTGCCAGACTTAGGCCCATCTGCACTATATATTTAAAGCTGTATCCTGCCACTTTATACTGCCAGGGCTTCCCCTAAAGAATCCTGGGAACTGTGGTTTGCTAAAGGTGCTGAGAGTTACTAGGAGGCTGCTATTCCCCTCACAAGGCTAGCTTCCAGAGTTCCTTCCCTCCGGAGAGGGACCAATTGTTAAACCACTCTTGAGTACTGAGCACTGAATGCTGAATGATTGATGGGGAAGAATAAAAAACATAAAGCCTGGGGAAAGTGGGAACATGAAGGCATATCCCGGAAGAGAGCATGCTGGCTGGTTGGCACCCTGAGCATAAGGAACACACACTGCAACATTTTGTTGCAGTTCCCATTTGCAGTCTCAAATTAAGAAGAGCTCAAATGAGTAAGCTGACATTTTACTGCCTTCCTCTGTGGGAGGTGAGGGGAACTCCACTTAAAGAAGTAGTGCATGATGAATTAAGGGCCTCTTCTTGGTGATCACTATCAAGTGCATTTTTCCCTACTAGCACCTTCTGATTGGTATTGTTTTCACTGGCAGGTAACCCCACACAATGAATGAATCAATCAATCTTGCCATTGAATAGACAAATTGCAACCAAGCCTCCTTCCTAGGGACAACCTGACTGTAACTAGAAACAATTCAGTGATGCCACAGCTCCCTTCGTACATCCACAGCAAAACAATCCTGGGTTCAGGGCACAAGTCTTTACAATTTACGCTTTTGTGATACATCCACTTCAGTTATTGAGGAAGGGTGCAAGGATACTATTTTAGAAATTTATGGGTATTTGATGCAACTGTGCTCAAACCATCTCAATATAGCCTACAGGGCTCTGCCACCTGTCCAACGCTTGGTCCAGGAACAAATCGTTTTGTGCTGAGGAATAGTAAATGTGATCAACCCAGCTATTAGGAGAGCTGGAAAATGGATTTCTGAATCAATAATCAGGATGGTGCTCAACTTTTATCTTCCAGTTAAAGATACACACAAAGCCACAGTTGAGGTTTTTAGCAACATTTAATAGCATCTCAAATGAGATGGCCATTTTTACAAATTTTGCTTTTAGCAAGGAAAAAAACCTGAAAATGCACTTGGTCCATATTTGCAAAAAGCCAGTTTTTTTAAAAAAAAAGAAAAAGTGTGAAACAGCTGATGCAAGAACAGACCTAGCATTCTATATACGTCCCGTATGAGTTGGGGTGGGAACACACTAATGGAATACAAGATCTGCTCTCACCATCCTCTTGGAAACCGCTTTTCCTAGGAGAGTCTGAGTTGCACTGAAGTAATTTTTAAGACACACGTACAACCCTACCCCATCTCTCTGTCAGAAAATGAAATTTCAGCGCATCATCTTGTGCAGTACTTTTGCATTGGTATATAACAAAGTAATATTAATTATAGCAGACGGCTGCTGCTCTCATTTCCTGGGTAGGAATGAAAGAGGAAGTGTGGAAGCCAGCATTTGCAACTGGTTATAAGACAAGAGGCAACGCCTCCCCTTGTTCTTGTCTCAAGGGCAGGCTCGGCACAAGGGGTGGGGGGGAGGAGGTTTGGGGAAAGCTCTGCTTTCCAATGTCCTTGACTGGTAGATTTCTCATCCACAGAGGCACGAGGAGCAAGGCCCAGCAGCATTCAAAGGAATGTGCAAAGTGTTTTTCTTTTTGACCATGCCGAGAGGGAAGCAGGCAATGAAAGGGGAGCTGGAGAGGTGTCTGGTCACACAGGGCCAGGCTGGGGCTGACAAGGACATAGGAGGTTGGGTAGTGATCCATTTGGAATGCAAAGTCCAGGTTTGGGGTAGGGCAGAGGGTCAAGGGGCAAGGAACAAAGCATGCTCAGGCTAGCTTGAGGAACTCCTGCAGGGTCTTCTGTTCCACTGCTTCCACAAACAGTTCGTAGTCCTGCCAGATGGGAGAAGCAAGAAACAAAACTCAAATACAGTCAATAATAAGGCAATATGTAATAGAAAGCTAGGAGCCTCTGAGGCCCCATCTGCACTATAAAGAAGTCTCATGCCACTATGAATAGTCACGGCTTCCCCCCAAAGAATCCTGGGAGCTGTAGTTAGTTAAGGATGCTGTGAATTGTTAGACCACTTATTTCCCCAGAGCTACAATTCCCAGAGTTCCCTGGGAGGAGGGGATTGATGCTTAAACCACTCTGGGAATTGTGGCCCTCAGAGGGGAATGGGGGTCTCCTAACAACACTCTGCACCCTTAACAAATTACAGTTCCCAGGATTCTTGGGGGGAGACATCATACCTGTCTAAAGTGGTATGATACTGCTTTAAATGTATAGTGCAGTTGTTGAGTTTCTTGCTACTAGGGCAAGAAGCTCAACAGAACTCTTTTCTCATCAAGGCACAGGAACATGACACAGGAAGCCTTTGAACAGAGTACTCAAACAAAAGTCAAGAGAGTTGTATGAGGAATCCTGCACCAACCACCGAAGAAGCCTCTGTGCTCCCACATTTAGCTTGCTCCATTCTGCAACCTGCTCACACACTCAAGAAGCTCATCAGAAGCAGAAAGAGTTGGGACCACAGTTAACCAGAGGCTCATTATTAAAATTTTGTTTCAGAAAAAGTGGTTGCTGTAAACAATGGACATCACTTCCTGTCAGTAAAGACAGGCAGAGCTTAGAACAGATGAAGTGACCCAGAGACTAAGCGAGCACTGGTGTGCGGTCAGGAACAAGGGTTGCGGAGGGAGGATAACCACAGAATCAAGCACCTTGGCTTCAGAGTTTTCAAAAAACCATCCAACAGAAAGCAACTCTCTTTCAAATCTCTCTCACCCCCCAGTCCTAAAGCATAAAAGTCATTCAGAACTTGGCCCAGGTACCACGCTGGAAATCTGTCCCCAGACAGAGAGGGTGAAGCTTATTTAGTGATGTATATGACACAATCCTTATGGGTGGCTCATGGCTGAAAAGCCCCTTTTCCCCATACAAGGCTTCCTATTAGCTGGGTATTACAAAGGGAGCTTTCATAAGTGACACAGGAAATGACTTCTGATCTGGAATCTGTCACTTCTAGGTGTTGTTAACATGGCAGGGAATTATAGCCTTGGGATGGGACAACACAGGCTGATAGATGGTCCTTTGGCACCTCCAATGAAGGAGAACTAAGCACTGTCTGCAGCAGTCTTGTTTCCATTTATAGAGGCTCCCCATACCTTGAGGCTGGAGAACCTGTGGCCAGGATAGGGCTGACAAGGACTTAGGAGGTTGGGAAGTGATCCATTTGGAATGCAAATACAGCTATCATCATCCCTGGCCACTGAGTAGGCTGGCTGGAGCTGATGGGAGGTTCAGTAACCTCTGGAGGCCCACAGCTTCCCTGTCATATCAGGGAATCCTCAAGGTGGGGAGGAGAGAAAGAGGATCCTTGTGATCCCAAGATCTATTCCAGACAGGGAGGGCACAGTTAGCAGTCCACTGACATATCTACCTAGAAGAGGCTCAAGAACAAAGTTTTGTTTTAATATTAAAAAACACAGTTTAGCCTAGCTCTGATTCAAAAGGGGCCCTGTTGGTCAACTAGATGGCTACAGGATAGCTACAAATAGACCCAAGTGCAACAGCAACTCTTTCCGTTTGTAATTCCCAGCAGCTGGTCTTCAGAGGCACATTGCCTCTGATTCACTTTTATTTCCTGACTTAACCCGCTGCTCGCCACACATTCCGAAGCACTTTGCAACAAGCAGCTGATGACAAAAGGAGGGCACAAACCTTTGCTTGCTCCCAAGATGTCAGGTGGCAACGGCATGTCACCTCAAAAGAGCGGCACCCCAGGGATGTCATAATAATAGCAAATGCCATTTTAAGTACACAAATGTCCACAAATAGCCAGGGTAGGCTTTTCACCCAAGGGACATTCAAAAAAGCCCATCTGGGGGGGAAGGAGCCCAAAAGCTCAAATGTTGGTCAACTTGCAAATCTCTAAAATAATACAACATGACTGCTCATATACTACATTTGTAATTTTTGCAGTGAGCATTTACACCAATGAATAGAAAAAAGCATGAGACTCACATACAACCTAACTAGCACCTGAGCATTATACACGCATTACCCACAAATCCAATTAGGTCCATTCAGGCATATGGGGCACCACCCCATCAACACCAGCCTGCCCTCAGCCAGCCAGCCCTACCTGCCTGCCGCATTCTTACTTACAACCAGACATGGGGTGGGGGCTCTGCCTGTCACTGGTCTCTAGCCCCACCTAGTGTTAGTCTCCCTGCCTTCCATCCTACCAGCCACCACAGCCTGCTAGGGCATAACCATGGACAGACTACAATAGGGCTAGAATGACAAAGCAGGCCTTGCCTTTAAAAGCTGTAAGTGCAACTCATGTATAGGGCCATAAAGAACCTTGTACATAAACCAGGGTAGGCATCCATTAAGCCACGTTTGTTTGTGTGTGTTTGTGTGTACGTGTGATCTTTTCAGATTGAGGGCCAGAAGAAAAAATGGGCAGGGCAACAACAAGTTTACACATATAGCTCAGTGTCAGAGCATTGGCCTTGCATGCAGAAGGTCCCAGGTTCAATCCTCAATAAAGTAGGGAAAGTCCCAAGGACCGGAGGGGGGGGGGAGGCCTGGAGGCTTGGATTTGGTCCCTGACTTAAACAACAGGCCTACTCTTTTAAGGCACACAGGCCT